TCAAATAAATAAAAATAATAAAAAAAAAGAAAAAAAAAAAAAGAAGTACAATCAGAGGCTGCACATGGTGGCTCATGTCTATAATCCCAGCACTCAGGAGGTTGAAGCAAGAGGATTGCCTCAAGCTCAAGGACAGTCTAAACTACAAAGTAAGCCTCTGTCTCACAACAAAGTACAATACTGCAGCAACTACCACATTTATTTTAAATACACGTTTTTGATTCTACTTCTAGATCCTAACACACAAATACATTTGTAGAAGTGAACAATCATAAATGCAGAAAAAATTTATTGACTGTGATCGGAAAAAAAAATAATAATCTAAACATTCATCCATCATATACCTAAGGTACATATAAATCTATATAAATAGGTACATATAAATCTATAACTCTGCACAGGCCCTTAAAAGAATGAAACACTAATACACACACATACACTTTATGATATGTTGTTGAAAGAATAAAGCACATTGCGCAAAGATATAGTCACATCCATTTATGTCTACATGTATATACAAATAAAAGTTACATTAAAAGCTGTAAGCAGTCACTTTCCTATTTGTTTTTGAGACAAAGTCTTACTATGTATTCTAGGCTGTCCTTCAACTCACTACATAGCCCAGGCTGACCTGGAAATCACTGTGACCCTCCTGCCTCAGCCTCCCAAGTACTCAGATTACAGGGATGCGCTACCACATCCACTCTAAATAGCTACTTTTGAGAAATAAAAATTGGGTTGGCCAAAAAGTAAGCAGACTAACTTGTCGTTAATAAATACAGATACTAAGCATACTTAAATTTTCTATACAACATTGATTTTAATAATTTTATGAATAAATTTAGTGAATTAATGCAATTAGTGAATTTAATCAATGAATTAAAGAAAATCAATGTTTTTAAAAGAGTGCTTTGTTACTGTTCTTTTCTTTTTGAGACCAGGTCTTGTTGTAATTCAGTTTGGCCTTGAATTCACAGAAATCCTTTGGCTTCAGTCTCTCAAGTGTTGGGATTACAGGTTTGTGCAACCACATCCAGCTAAAGATTAATTCATAACAAGTATAGGGGTGAGAGTACACAACATTAGAAGGCTGGACTTACCTGCTGAACCTTGGAATTTGGCTCTCTTAACTGCAAGAGAACAAAAGGAGACACCATGAAGAATTTTGCAAATTTACTCCTTTTACTTAACAAATATTTCATACCTGTTGTGTGCCAATATTAAATGTAGGATTAAGATGTTAAGACTTTTTTTTTTTTTTTTTTTTTTGAGACAGAATCTCACCATGTAGCCCAGGCTAGCCTCAAACTCACAATCCTCCTGTCTCAGCCTCTCAAGTGCTGAAATTCAAGGCATATGTCACCTTGTTGAGCAACTCCAATTATTTTTTTTGAAAAAAATTCTTTATTATAAGGAAAATATACAGCAAGATGGGGTAGGAAGGAAGTAGGGGAAAATATATGGAAAATGTAATCAACAAACAAACTGCCCAAATATGGCTTCCTGTTATAGAGGAGAATGATGTGGCTCTTAACCTCATTTGCCTTTCCTGGCTCAGTCTTGCCCTTAGCAGCTCTGGATCCAATGGTTCCATTTTCTGAACTCTTTTCTTCCTGAGTTTGGGAAAGGTTGTATAGTTCTCAGGCTTTCAAGAAACAAAAGATAGTTTAGAGAAAGGAAAGATGTTTTGGTCCTTTGTTCTACTATCTTCTCCATGCTTTTGGGGTTATCCTCAGTCCTATCCCTTAGTATCTATAGATGCCAAAGAGATGAACTCCATGGAACTGGGGCAATTCAGGCAGGAGTATGTTGAACAGTGAGGCAGTGTTCATGAGGAAGTGGGCAATGTCATACTTGGTGTAGACGCTGGCCAGAAGGTAGAGTATCATAGGAGAGATGCTAAGGAACTTTAGGGAAGGGGTAAAATGGAGGCATTAGTCCATCTGCTCCCAATGTGTCAAGAGGCGAGCCTTTCCTTGGTCAGGGGTCTCAAAGGGTTCCTTTCACTGTGTGTAGGAAGACATACATTGCCAAGTTGTGGATGACACTGGTCAGGGTCCAGACAACAGGAATGCTAAGAAAGGGGATGCTGAGTAGAACCATGTGCAGCAGCCCTACCAAAATGATGTAGGCCAGTCAGCCAGATGCCCGAACTAGTCATGACTCGCATGCTAGGGTTTATTTCACTGTGTGCCACCCCCACATTTGTCCTCTTTTAGGCTCTCTTCAGCACTCTTCTTAGTGTTTAACTCTCCACCTTCCCCCTGCACTTTTCACCTCCCGACACTTACCCCCGGTAGCCTTTTCTAGTTTAGCAACTCCAATTATTAAGAAAACCCACTGAGGCTTCTGTTCAAAAGCCCTTCAAAGTCATCTAGCATAGTATTACCCAATGCTGAAACCTCTGTGCTGACAAGAAAGTAGAAGAAGCAAGTCTATGTCAAGCAGTTTTCACATTAAATATCTTTTTAAGGTTTAAATTAAAAATATTTCCAATTTAAAAAGCATCATTGTTCTCCATGTGCTTGCCTCACATGCATGAGGCACTGGGTTCAATCCCAACCCCATGAAAAAGAAATCCTCCACTCCATGTATGACACAAGTTTATAACACTACACACATAGATGATAGCTTTTAAAACAAGATTAAGGGGGCTGGTGAGATGGCTCAGTGGTCTAAAGCACCTACTTAGAACAAACTAAGCTGAGCAAAGCACTGGGACCGCGGTTCAATCCCCCAGCACCACATGGCAGTCAGCCCTGCCCCCTGGTGGGCTGAGCTGGCCACACACACACTAAATAAATTAATAAATAAACAAATAAATAAATAAAATTTAAAAAAATAAAAATAAAAAATAAAACAAGTGTAAGAAGTTAGACCTAGGCCAGGCATCATGATGCACACTTGTAATCCTACCACTCAGGAGGCTAAGGCAGAAAGATCACTGAGACTTCAAGGCCAGCATGTACTACACAGCAAGACCTTGTCTCAAATAACAAAAAATTACTTACATCTTTATCTTGTTCATTTATGAAAATAAGTGCAAATTACTTTCAACATCTAAAAAATATTAAATATGATATTTAAATAAGAAAACACTGTATGGCTCAATCACTACCAATTATTTCCTCAAGATTTTTAAATAATAGATTAAACAAATTTGCTAATAATGAAGCTAATTTTAAAGACTTTAGGCTTGAACCAGTGAGGAGCTCCAACACAAAATACCTCCTTTCCAAACTATTATGTGTGGCAGAAGGAAGAAAAAACATGTGTCAGAAAGAAATAGTTATTATACAATAGAGGCTCTTACAAAGACTCCAAAGCTGATATGAAAATGCTGCAACAGGACTAAAGAAAACCCAAGCACAGCTTTTTTTTAAAAAAAAAATGTATTTAATATCAGAGTCTATAAGTCTCGCTACACAGATCGGACTCCTTAGTGATCCTCCAGTTTTCAGACTTCCAAGTGGTAGGATGACAGGCCTGTGCCACCACACCCAATCTCAATCCAGTCTCAGAGCATGCTGGGGCAGGGCCTGCACAGCATGCAAGGGATCAAACCCAAATCCACTGAGCTATCAGGCCAGCTCTTTTTTCCCCCCAGGCAGAGTATTTTCCTCCAGGTTCCTATAAGTAAAGGGAGAAATAATGAAATATGCAAGAACCCCTCAGAAAATTTGTAATTTCATCTTTGAGCCTGTATGACCTTGTAAAATAAATCTACCATTGGCACCCTTGAGATTAAAGGAATAATCCTATTCACATGGACTTTACAATAATGACCTGGCTCCCCAGGCATAGGAAACGGGTGGCCTGTCTTCTTCTAGCCTGTTCCACTCATGAGACAGTTTCCAAAGCCTTGTGATGGGACGAGCCAAGCCAGATCCAGAGCTGGGAACAGGCCTGTGGGCGGCTAGGCTCTGTGCTTAGCTTGTCCTGCCTGGCGCTCCCCGCGCTGGTGCAGCTGACAGCGGCTGCCAAGAATTTTGAGGATGTCCGATGTAAATGTATCTGTCCTCCTTGTAAGGAGAATCCTGGGCATATTTATAATAAGAACATATCCCAAAAAGACTGTGAATGTCTTCATGTTATGGATCCCATGCCAGTGCTTGGACCTGACGTAGAAGCATACTGTCTGCGCTGTGAGTGCAAATATGAGGAAAGAAGCTCTGTCACAATCAAGGTTACCATTATAATTTACCTCTCTATTTTGGGTCTCCTACTGCTGTACATGGTATATCTTACCCTAGTTCAGCCCATACTGAAGCGGCGCCTCTTTGGACATTCACAGTTGATACAGAGCGATGATGACGTGGGGGATCACCAGCCTTTTGCAAATGCTCATGATGTCCTGGCTCACTCCTGCAGTCGACCTAACGTTCTGAACAAGGTAGAGTACGCCCAGCAGCGCTGGAAGCTTCAAGTTCAGGAGCAGCGAAAATCTGTCTTTGACCGACATGTTGTCCTCAGCTAATGGGAGTCAAATTCAAGAAAGAAAGAAGGCAGACGACTGGAAGGAACTGAGTTTTCTGGGTTTTGTTTACTACCTTGTTGATTTTACCAACTGTTGTTGGAAGACTCAAAATTGGAAGCAAAAAAAAAAAAATGCTTAGTATTTTTTTCACATTAATGTATCAATAGAAATTTTTAAAAGCACACAGGTCAGAGTCAGCCAGTAAGTCTTTTTCTACTTGAGACTTTTACTAATAAAATTAAACCCTCTTTACATGCCGAAAACTCAAACTTGACCCAGGTCTACCACCATGCACTAAACTAAAGTCAAAATGGATTAAAGATCTAAACATTAAAGCAGAGATACTAAATCTCCTGGACGAGAAAGTAGGAGGAACCCTTGAAGACATAGGGGTAGGCAAAGAGTTCATGGACAGAAATCTAATCGCATGGGAAACAGTTGAAAGAATTAACAACTGAGACCTGCTCTTACTGAAAAGTTTATTCATGTCAAAAGAAATTATCAACAAAGTGAAAAGGCAACCCACAAATTTGGAAAAAATCATGACAAATAAGTCCTCAGACAAAGGTCTGCTCTCTAGAATTTATAAAGAACTAAAAAACACTAGGGCCCCAAAATTTAAA